CAAGTACCATGCTTTCATACTAGCAACCAACAGGAAACACTGGTCCACAAATATTTTGTCACATGGGCTGTAGTGGGTGTTCTAAGACTTTTTCATGCTGAATTTAAAAATGAGATGAGATTTTTTTAAAATATTAGGCTTAGTTTTCTTGTGACCCCATCTTTGTTATTCTGTTCAATTAGTGACATCATGGCACTATATTTTAACTCTAGCAGCATGTAGGTAACAATCATTGAACAAAACCTAGTGATTATTGTTCTCTAGCATAAATAACCTCAAGACAAATGTAGAAGGCGTGACAGAACAGCACATGGTGCAAGTTGGGTCATGCTTGGACACGTCTAGCCATGGGCTCAGCCTCTGCTTGGAAAGCAGTTTCTGGTCAGTTTGGTGTAAGCCTTTTAAGTGTGTGCTCTCTGTATTCAGGTTAAATATTAAGACGGTTGCTATTGTGTTGCGCTTATCTACATACTGTTAGAATGCCATGAAACCGTGTAAACCATTCTGATATTTTCTATTATGTATGTGGTGAGTTAACATTTAAATCTCAGAAATGAAACTTCACCTTACTTGTCAAAGAATGCTATGGACTTTATTTTGGTTGTAAAGTGGGTAACCTGTCAGATTCAGCCGGTGTGGCACGGCTAGGAACTTGCCCAGCCACGCTTAGTCAGTTTCACCGTTTGAGTGCTAGCAAGGAAAGGGGAAGTGAGAAACCGCGAACTGATTAATGGGCCAGCTGGCGCCGCTTAACTAAACCACGAGCGGATGCGTTGTGTTAACGCCAGATTGCTGCGGGCACTGTAGACAAAGGGGAGAGCCGCGGATTTGAGTTAAGGCAATCAGCTCGTGATTGGGGAACTCCCGGTTTTGCGAGCAACAGAAAGACCCATCGACGACAACAACAACGCCAGCGATTGACAGCCATCAAGAACACAAAAGAGCTGGACTGAATCTGCCATTGGAGTAAAGGGGAGGATTACTGTGGGTAATCTGTAACCAAGCAACAGGGGTTAAGCACTGGGACGGGGAACTATAAATTGTAAAATGTGCCAAGCCAGTCCTGGCTTTGTCTGTAATTACGAATGTTATGCTTGAGTAAACTTCTTTGCTGAACACACGTGTCACGAGAGTTTCTCTGAGTCCAACGGGGTAAACCTTACATAACCAAGATAAGAATTGGGCCCCTCACATTTGCTGTGTGGCACTTCTAACAGGATTACTAAAGGGTTCATGCCATATGCCATTTGGAGGGAACCAAAAGACCAGTCATCAGACTGTTATTGTTGTTTCTGCCTAACAAGCTCAATGGTGACAAATTTAATGAATTCTTCTCCCAAGAAGATAGATTAACATTTTGTAGAAATGTTTGTTCAGTTATGAAGGCTTTTGGCCATGAACACAGTGTAAATGAGTGGCACTTGTTCAATGACTCCTTGAAAGTTAGCTTGAAAGCTGTGCTTCTTCATAATGGAAATACATTATCATCTGTATCATTAGCCCATGATATTAACATGAAAGATATATGAAAACATGAAACTGCCTTTGGAAAAGATCCAGTATGAAAAAAAATGGAGTCTCTTTGGAAATCTGAAGGTCATTACACTTCTGCTTGACCTGCAGCTTGGATACATAAAATACTGTATGTTTTTTGTGAGTGAGTAGCACAGGAAGAACAGGAAGAAACATTACATTCAGAACGAACACCCCAAAAATGTAAAATTCAGAATGAATAGCCAAAATCCACTTTTTGAATATATATATGTGTGTGTGTGTGTATGTGTGTGTGAGATAAACTTGTCAGCTCTTAAAAGATTTTCCTTCCTCCTTTGCACATCAAACTTGGACCGATGAAAAACTTCATTAAAGTGACAAAACAGGAATTGGTTTCATATACTCGAGGAATACTTTTCCCAGGTTTAGTGATACTAAGATTAAGGAAGGTATTTTTGTAGATCCTCAGATAAGATAATTGATAAAAGATGACAAATTTGATTAAGTGAAGTTGAAAAAGCTGCATTCAAAAGTGTCTGTAAAAACTCTTTGGGAAATCATAAAGCAGGAAACTAAAGCGTAACAGTGAGTTCCTGAAGTCATATCAAGTTATGGGATATAGCATGGCATTAAAAGTTCATTTCTTGGATTCTCACTTGGACAACCGGCCAGTGAGAAACACAATGAATGATTTCATCAGGACATTTCAAGCATGAAAAAGTGGTACCAAGGCAGGTGGAGCCATAGCATGCTGACTGACTCCTGCTGGACCCTTAGGAGAAATGGTCCTCAGGTGCAATTCAGCAGAAAATAAAACATTGTGTCTCTTTAGGTAACACTTTTGTGCTTTTAATCAACTTGTAAATATAAGCTATTACCAAAGTAAAGTTGTGGGTCACTCAAACACCTTTCCTGACAGAGAAATTTTGAAAATATATTTGAATTCAACATACAAATACTATAACCAGTTTTTGTTTGTGTGACACAATTTTTTTTGTTCCCCACTGAAATTAAGAGGCTACTCAATTTTATAGTTCTGCTCTGAAGTCAGTAGCAACTTCTCCAAAATTTCATAAAAGGTACAGCAAAGAGAATGTGGTAGATTTGTAGAATTCTCTTTTTCTGTGAAAATGATTGCTGTAACAAGAAGGTCAAGGGGAGGGATTCTACTAAACAGGGTGAAGTTGGCATATGTGACTCCTGAAGTGAAGAAGATAAAATGAATTTTGCTGGAACTTTAGAAAAAAAATGTTTTAAAAAAACCTTCTAATTAAAAACCCCTTCATTTGGGAGGAGGGGAAATGTATTCTCATGGATTATGAAAATTGAAATGGTTGGAAGAAAGCCCAGGTTTTTTTTTAGTCACTGAGATGCTCAAAAGGTTTTAAATCATCCAGATAGAGAATTGTAAACAATATAACACAGAAGAACTTGAAACATCATTCAGGCCATTGTTATAAAGAGAATGGAAGATAAAAATCTGTCTATCCAAGCTAATAACCTGCATTTTATCAGTAAAAATTTAAAGATAATATTAAAACTATTAGTGCAAAAAATATCAAATACAAAAAATGTTTGTTACCAAAAGCTTAACCTTCTTATTATCTAGCATGTTTCATATTTTTAAAAAAAGTGGTTAAATCTTCAGAATACATCTGAAGCAGCTTTTAAAAATCCTCCCTAATAAATTGTGTTCTGTAACCCAATATTCAGAATTAGTTTAGTTTAGTTTCAATGACTTGGATGAGGGGATAGAAAACATGATTATCAAATTTGCAGACAACCCAAAGTTGTCAAAATTCAAGAAGATCTTACCAAGCTGGAACAATGGACAGAACCTAGGAAGATGAATCCCAAGAGGAACAGATGCAGAGTCCAATGTTTCGATAGGAAAAATCAGTGGCCTGAATATATGATGAAGTAGACCATACCAGGCAGCGGTACATGTGAAAAAGATCTCGTGGTGGTTCACAAGCTAAGCCTGCACCAGCGGTGTGATGCTACTGGAAAAAACCCAGAAGTATAGTGCCAAGATCAAGAAAAATAATCTTTCCTCTCTGCTCTGCATTGATCAGACTGTACATAGAATATGCATCCAGTTCTGGCACTGCATTTTAGGAAGGGCATTGACAAACCATAATATATCCAGAGAAAAGCAAGGGAGATGGTAAGGGGTCTGGAAGGAAAAAATTAAGAGGAATGGTGGAAGCACTAGGTATGTTCAGCTTGGAGAAAAGAAAACTGTGGAGAGACATTATACCTGCCTTCAGGTTTCTGAAGACTGTTGTGTAGAAGTTGGTGCACAGTTGTTCAGGAAACAGGACAAGAAACAATAGGCTTAAATCTCAAGGAACTTGATTTCAACTGGACATGAGGAAAAAAAATCCTAATGGTAAGGGCTGTTGAAAATAAAATAAACTGATTTCAAGTGTGGTGGACTCTCCTTCCCTAGATGTGTTTTACAGATAGACAAGTGTCAGTCAAGGATGCCATAGTAGTTGAATCCTGGACTGGGCAGAGAGTTTGACTAGATGATGTCTTCCAACTCTTCCATTCTATTATTCTATGAATCTATCTTCTAATTGAGCCAAGTATATGTTATTCTCAGGTGTTCAGAGCAACTTTATGAAATATCTCAGACACAAATAAGAACAAATAACTTTTATTTGTTCCACTAGTGAAACACCTACCCAATGTGTGGTAACATGGTGGTCCTGACAGATTATGCTATGAGCGCATGTGTGTATCTGTGTGTATCCAATAAAGTAAATAAATTCATTTCAAGTCAGAGGTTTTACATTTCAAAAACAAATAAAAAGAGCACCCACAGCTCACTGGTAGCTTTCTGTGTGTGTGTGTGTTCCAAGGAATAGGAATGAGACCTGAGCACTGATTGGTGAAGTAGGTTTTATAACTATCATAAAAATGAACAGAGTTTACAGGACATATAGGAATAGGCAGAGCCTCTGTGCACGTGTGCCTGGGAATCAAGGCAGCAGCAATCTCCTAAACAAGGAGCAGGCAAAGGGATAGAGAAAGAGGGGACCTGGAGGAAATCCTTAATTCTTTAACTATGCCCCACTTCCCCCTTATGGTCAGTAAGTTGGGAAGAGCCAGCGCCATTGGACTTGCATCGCCAACAGTTGAATGCTACAAATGTAACAAAGTTATTAGGAAATGTTTAGCCTATTTCTGCCACTAATGCTGAATTTTCTAAGGGCCATGCATCTTCATTATTAGGATGAAGGACAGGATAATAACAGAACAGATAAGTAAAATATTTACAACATGTTCATGACAAGACATATATTAAAGCTTTAGCCAATAAAAGGAATGTTTTGTTTTTGAAATTTTGGGTAAAGTCATTGAGTTACCACATGCTACTGCATAAAAAGGGCAAATCAGCACAACATGTTTTGTACAGTTCTCATTCCAAGACTATAGAAATTATCAGTCCAAAACAGCAGAAGGAAAAGAATTGTCACTGCATACCGTCCCTTCCTTACCCAAGTGTGTTCTGGCTGGTGCACAAGTGCAAAGGTGCTTGATTCTCATCAGACAGAAGGTTTGGATTGGCCTTATAATCCAGCAACAGCTTGGTGCAGTTTGTGGGTCCCATGTCACAAGCTTCATGAAGGCACTCCATCCTCCTGGGGCCATAGAGCAGGAGATGTCGCAGACAGCCAGTGTGTCTGTGGCTGGCTGAGATGCAGAGAGGGTTGTTGCCCTCAAACAACAAATTTGGGATATAGATCTCCAAACAAATTTAAGCAAGGTGTCACACTCCATTATTTATCAGATTCTTCTGAAAGGGTTCACTCCAGCCTCTTATTTAACATCCATCACAATTCTGAAATGTCCTAAGGCCTTCACTTTAGGCAGGCTGAATGCTTTGCCCTCAACAGTCCTTTTTGGATGTTTTAAGGGCACTCCCATGTCTCTCCAGTTATGTCCACATGGCGATGACTTAATAGAAACTCTAAGTCATATGCTACTCTGCCGCTCCCTATATAAGGACTCTAGACAGCCCTTCATTTATCCAATCTTGAAGAAATTTCTGGGCAGGGAATGTAATTTCTACT